GAATTACCAGCTATCTCACTGCAAATCCAGAAATTATTATAAAGATTAGGGCTATGTGTTTTTTTTGAATGACATCAAATTCCGTAAAAAGTCTTCATGAAACAAGTAACAATGTACTTGCCAGTCTTCTCTTATTTGCAGGACAGTGGTTTTTGTACAAGTTGGGTAAAACAAGTTTAAGACTTATTTGTTCCTTAATACATGCTTAACATTTATAATCTAGATATTTCCTAGTGTGCTTAAATACTCCTTTTAAATACTTTTAAAAGGCTTACTCATCAGATTAACACATATAGTGCGGTTGTTTTTTTTTTGGCCGTGCCACATAGCATGCCAGATCTTAGTTCCCTGAGCAGGAATCCAACCCCTACCCCAGCAGTGGAAACGCAGAGTCCTAACTACTCAGCCATTGGGGAAGTGCAGTGGTGTTTCTTTTTTAACAGAAATCAAAAGGAAATTATGTACAGCAAAATAGTTATGTGAGTTGTTAATTTTAAGTTCCTTATAAATGATATTCTTATCTCTTGAGATGTTTCTGTTAGAAAGTGTTAGTTGCTCAGTGGCATCTGACTCGCTGCAGCCCCATGGACTGTAACCTGTCAGGCTCCTCTGTCCTTGGAATTCTCCAGATAAGAATACTGGAGTGGATAGCCATCCCCTTCTCCAGGGGATCTTCCAAATGTTGCAGGCAGATTCTTTACCATCTGAGCCATCAGGGAAGTCGCCTTAGAAAGACAGTTATTTTGAAAATGACTGGGGGAGGGATAATTCAGAAGGTTGGATTCACATACTACTATATATAGATAATCAACAAGGACCTACTGTATAACATAGGAAACTATACTCACCATCTTGTAATAACCTATCATGGAAAAGAATCTGAAAAAGAATAGATCTAGGTATTTATGTATAATTGAATCACTGTCCTGTACACTTGCAATTTACACAGCATTGTAAACCAACTACATGCCGATAAAAACTAAATAATTTTTTTAAAAATCTGAAGTAATGTTTTGATTTTATGCATTCACCCAACCAGCTGATTGAAAATGACTTCATAATTGCCAGGTCCAGGGAGAGCTGCTTGGTTTTCACCCTCTTTGGTCCTCTTTGGCGTGGGTGATCTGCCCACTTCTGCTTGGGTGGACCCTGCCCCCCCCCCTTTTCTCTTGATTCTGTGTCATCTGTCACAGTGATTTTCCTGCTACTTCCCTGATGGCTCCTTTTCAGGCTGTTTTTGTTAAAAGTTCTTCCTTCCTGCCCACACTTGAGATGCTGTGGTTTCCTGGCATCCTCAGATGTGCTGGGATCCTGTATCTATATTGCTTCCCCACTGAAACTCCCAATAGCCGCCCTGTAGGCTGCAAACTCAGGTGCCTGTGTGGGCAAGTGATGGAGGTCAATGAAGATCTGGGTACTAAAAAAAAGTACCATAGAAACTACACAGGGGGTTTTAAAAACTGGAAGGAGGATGTCCCCTGGCCTAGCCTCCATTTCCATGAAGGAGTGAAGGCCATCCTGACCTCAGGTAGTGAACGATCTATGTGCCTGCCACACAGGTGCTGGGTGAGGCTGAGTGAGAGAAAGGCCCCTCCTCTCCTGGAGTGGATGCCAGTTCTGCACACCTGAGCCCGCAAGGAGTCACACCAGGGCAAAGGATACTCAGTATGACCAGATGTTCAAGTTTGTTTTAAGAAAGCCTGAAATTCAGATTTTTCTGTGAAATGCAACTTTTTCAAATGGTGATTTGCAGGCAAGAAAAGCCAACTATCTTATGATTTCTTGTATAGGTGGAATCTTAAAAAAAAATGATATAAATCAGCTTGTTTTCAAAATAGAAATAGACTCACAGACATAGAGAACAGAATTAAGGTTACCAAGTGGAAAAGAGTAGGGGTGGGAAGGGGCAGGAAGGGGTGATGGGAGATAAGTCAGGAGGTTGGGATGAACATACACACGACTGTGCATAAAACACATAAAACCACAAGGACTGATGGTAGAGCACAAGGAACTCTACTCAGTATATTGTAATAATCTATAATGGAAAAGCATCCGAATATATATATATATGTGTGTGTACATATATATAAAACTGAATCACTTTGCTGTACACTTGAAACTATCAGGTTATAAATTAATTATTCTTGAATTAAAAATGAAAAAAATACAGGTAGTGCCTAAAAGATTAATTAATTAAATGTTGGCCTAAATATTTTAAAGCAGTGTGAAGTGAAGTGAAGTCGCTCAGTCGTGTCTGACTCTTTGCGACCCCCTGGACTTGTAGCCCACCAGGCTCCTCTGTCCATGGGATTTTCCAGGCAAGAACTCTGGAGTGGGTTGCCATTTCCCTCTCCAACAGTGTAGAACCTCTTTACACTGTGCTTCCCTGTTTTCAACCCTGGTCTAAAAAATAACTTTCTCACATTCGACCCTGGAATCCCAAGGTGGTCTCACCTACACCTGTCCTCCCAGCTTGGGCTCCGTCTTCTGCTCACAGACAACCAGCCAGGCCCTGGGGTTCTTCTGTTTTATCCTCAGGATTGTGCTTCTTGCTAGAATGCATTCCCCCACCTCTTCCCCCGGCAGCCCAGATGCTCCCTTGTAAGCCAACCCTAATCTCACCGTGTAGGGTTTCCCTCACCCTGCCAGCGTTCCACAGTGTTGTTCCCTATGCACTCTCATTAGAGCAGCCACCAGTGTTTGATGGACTTTGAGCCCACAGGGGCTGTGGTTTCATATTTGCACCCTGAGAATCTAGCCCAGCACTTTGTACCAAGTCCTTGCTTCACAAATACTCACAGAATGATTGACCAGCCTGAAATCAGCTCTCTGCAAACTAGTCCTGGTGGTGACTTCTATCAGCTAGCTTCCCTCCCAAGCACAGAGCAAACATACTCTGTGAATAGCAGCTTTGTTCCACATGGAAACAATCTTGATATAAACATTACTCTTTGATCTAAAATGCTGGTTATCAACTTTTGTACCAGATAGGTCTGAAATAACCACCCAGTCTGTTTTACCCCCATCTTCCTCTCCTGTGCCCCACTTACTGGTCCCACCACACACTTAGAGCAGGCTCCTGGGATGGTTGTCCTGAGGAGGCTTATGCATTTGTAATTTATAACCCGGACTTGTCATGTGATAGAGCAGAAGTACTCTATCCCTTTGGTATTTGAGTTTTCTTCACATTTATGCTTTCAAACTCTCAGGGTTATAGGTATGGGGTAAGGATGTGCCGGGTAGGGATGTGGGGCAAACTGTTAACGCTTTCGGCGCTGCTCAGGAACTGTTCCATTTCCCTTTTCTCAAAACATCCCTGTGAGTCAGATTGCACTACCCTAATTTAAGGACAAGAAAAATGAGGCTGGAACAGGTATAGTTACCATTAGAGAATTGTGGCTAATTATTTAGAATAGAATTTATAAGTATAATTGGTTTGTTATGCACTTTTTCTTTTTTCAACATTTTTTTCTTCTGTAAATTCTATACTATGCAAAATATATTAATTTTTGTTGTCTGGTACATACTGGTTTTAGACTTTCTTAAAAAAAAAAATCTACCGATAGTTTTCATCCATGCCAGACCTCCTGGAAGAAAAATTTGTCAACGTGCTATGAATTCTGAAATGCATCATAACAATGATCCTCTATTTATATATGCAGTTGTTTAAAAATAGATATAAAGGTCTACATGCTATGTAAAGTTGAAATAACAACAGTAATTTATATTAAAATAATGCATTTAAGTGAATAGATACACATGCCCAGTTGCACAAAAAATAAAATGAAGTAGTCAGATATTTGTATCTTTTAAGTAACAGACTCATTGTGTATATGATAGCCATGGTAATAGACTAAATGGGTATGTCTAATTGTTTTCATCGTGATGCAGAGTATAAGCCATGTTCCTGTTAGTGGTTTGATTCTCTAGAATAGTAACTCTTGTTCCAAAGCACAGACACTCCCTTCAACTTATTTGATAGTTGAATGTCTAGAAAACTGGGCTTAAACTAAACCTTTGAAACATATCTGCATATATATGTGAGACAGTATTATGTTCCAGATTCAGATGGACAATAGCAAGAATGTTGCTTATGTGAATGTCCAGTAAGCTGTTTAAAAGGCCTGAAGGGCCTTTTCAGGCCATTTGAAGGATTCTCCTGTGTTGGGTGTCCAGGGACCTTGCCCTCCTCATATGCCATCATTGAGACAGCCTAAAATGCCTCTACACATTTCTGGAACATTCTGTAAGGCAACTCTGCTCTCTATGAGTACCACTGATCAAAACCTTCAAACCCAAGGTAACAGTGGTTAGAAAAATACAAGCCATTCACTGCTTAGGTTTAAGATGCCATATGTAATGCAATGTAAACTAGAACCACAAGAGGACTGATTCCTTTCTTCAAGAGTTTTACAGCCTAGCCAACTAGATGGATCACTTGCATATATGTAGTTAAATGTTGAAAATATGTGTTTGACAGAAAGAGAAAGATGTCTGTGAGCTGAAGACACACAGAAAGGTCTAACAGAGGCAGTGTAGTATGGAGTGGGATTTGGAGAATACGTATATAATGAAGAAGCTCTAGAAAAGCTTGGACAAAGATGAGGATAGGGAGCAAGGAGTCTGACCAGGTGAAGAAGTTACTGCTGGAAAGTGTTGGACAGTAATCATGGAAATCTGGAGTAGAGCAAAACTGTTATATCCAAATGGAAATTAAACTGAATAATTCATGAATTGAATATCAGATACATTGTTGCTACATACAAAATATCTAAGTTTGATGTGGCTGTTTAGTGAATTTGGAGCTCCTTACCAACAAGACTGGAGGGCTTAGAATAGAAGACTCATATTTCTTTAATTGAGAATGCTTTTTCAGTTGTGTCTCATCTTTGGCATATTTTATTCTATTTACACAGTTAAATTTGAGATGCACTCACTCCCTCGAATTCCTAAAATAACAGATCATGGTTTTATGTCTCTTTTCTCCTGGTCTCTTGCAGGTATGATTTTGTAGAGGTTGAAGAACCAAGTGATGGAACCATTTTAGGGCGCTGGTGTGGGTCTGGCAGTGTGCCAGGAAAGCAAATTTCTAAAGGAAATCAAATCAGGATCAGATTTGTATCTGATGAGTATTTTCCCTCGGAGCCCGGGTTCTGCATCCACTACAACATTGTCATGCCAGTAAGTACCACTTAGAGATGCCCCATGTATACAGATCAGACTTGCTTATTTCTTTTTCCCCTCTTAAACATGAGATTAAGGAAAACCAAGAACCAAAAACCTTCTCTAGCTTGATGTTTTTTCATAAGTGTCACTATAGTTCTCACAAATAACTTGTGTGTTGTCACTTTAAATCCTTAGTGTCTGTCTTGCCTCAAAAGTCGATGCTTTAATGTGATGTTTTACTTTTTCTCCCCCATTAAGGTGACATTGTTCTTTCTACTCCTTTCCATACCCACCAAAAGTTGGTTTTTTTAGGCGGGTTCCTTATAAATACATGCATGACATTTTTCGTCTTTTTTTTTTTTTTGGAAAACGGTAAACTCCCTAGTGGCTCAATAGTAAAGAACCCACCTTCCAATCCAGGAGATTCGGGTTCAATCCCTGTGTTGGAAAGATCTCCTGAAGAGGGAAATGGGAACCCACTCCAGTGTTCTCACCTGGGAAATCCCCATAGACAGAGGAGCCTGGTGGGCTACAGTCCACGGGCACACGCAAGAGTCACACACGACTTAGCAACTGAGCAACAACAAAATGTGTTAAATATTCTTTTCAAATCAAAGTTTCAGTAAAATATATTTTTAAAAGCAGTAATCTCAATTCTCCTACTTATCTTAATGTTTATCCTGCTTAAATAATATTTATGTCCTTTTTGCCCCAAAAAGGAAGTTTCAAAATTCTTACAGGAATTTAAGAAATCTGTTTTCTCTGATTGTAATTATTACTCTTTTCATTTGTGTCACAATTTCTTGTACCCTTTATGTATTATTGTAAATATTTGTATCTATTTATTGCTGTGTAACAAAAGTGTTGAAATCATTTTGGCTATTTTTATCCCATTCTACTTATAATAGTAATTCAGAAGTACAAATGTGATGCCCCCTAGTATACTACTCAAATATGTTCAGTATCACCACTTAAAACAATATAAAATTAATATTGTTAATGGGTTTGACAGATTTAGCAAATCATTGCACACTGGGAGCACAGTATGGTGTGAATTACATGCATTAATTGATATGCATATCCCAACTGTTTATAAAAGAATGTACCTAGCACACTAGCAATTCATTAGTTAATTTAGAAATATAGAATCAATATTTTGCTTAATATATTTATATTATAACATTAAACAGAAGTTTCCCTTTTTGATTACCCACACTCAATTCTGTGAAATACTATTTAAGCCACTGATTAAATTGTGAAATTGTTATTTGAGATACATCTGAAAAGAAATAACAAAATTTAAATTAAAGCTGGAAAGTGATCATTTTATTTATCTAGTAGCAGAATTGTTTATTGTGTGCAATTTAAGATAAGGGAGATATTTCTAAAATATATGTTATGAATTTTGTATGGTGACTTTTGATCAATCTCCTTATATAGATTATTTAAGATATCTTTATCTTAAATATACAGTAGCTTTAATAAAATTTAATAATTTCATCTAGAAAAGTGTTAATCGTAGACAAAGATGAACTTATTTAAAAACACATTGATACTGTGATTATTTGTTTGAATGAAACCACTAAGTATTTGTTTATCATCCTTTCACAGTACTCTGCTTCACAGAATTTGTGAGTTAATATTTGTTTTAAGTCTATAATAGCCTTAGAAGCCATGGCTACACTTTCACAAAGTTATACAGTACATATTTTCAGTTTGGGTTTTAGCACAACTAATGTTTTTAAATATTTAAATATAAAACAATCAAATTTTACTATAAAACATAATGATAGATCTTGAATCATATAAAAGATTTGATTTACCCCAAACCTGTAACAAAAATAAACTTGAAACTGCGAAGTTATTTGTGTTTTAAATCAGCTAGCATCTTCATATTATGTTGATAGCAACCTATTATCATCCCACAGAACAAGACATGAAAGTGAAAACATATGTAGGCCAACACCAAGGGTTGTTTTTTTCTGATTTTATGGTCTCGTGAGTTATCTGGTTGTGTAACCCCTGCAGTTGTGTGGAGGAAATTAAATATATAAAGACAAAAACAGGAAATGTACAATGCCTCATTTAGTCCCAGCCTCATTACAGTTTTTCAGTAAGTGGCTGGGCACGGAGTTGACCATGCAACTCAGTCACCCCAGCTTAACTTGTAACAGCAGCTTCACTGACACTTGTGTTTCTATGTGAAAGTGTATGTCAGATTCCTGAGCCTGGAGATGAGACAAAGACATGTAGATGATCTTCTGTAAGTACCACCCATCCTCTGGACCAGAAAGGGTCTTGCCCCCTGAATTTGACTCATTACCAGAGATTCAGTGTGACTAACACCAGAACTTCATCTGCGAGATTCTGGGTGGAAAGGGTATCAATCACTGATCGCATCATCAAAATTAAACTCAGTGCATTTTTAGATCATTATTGAAATAGCTGGATGAATTGTAAATATGGACTTTGGGGGCTGGGGGTTGACAAGCTTCCTGGGCTCTGTTGAGCTCTGTCTTTCTTGGTATCTAAGTTGCCCAGTGATGGCTGCCTGAAAAACACAATACAGGAGCGCTTATTCCAGTTTTCCTTCTGCTTAGAAAGCCAGCAAGCTACGGACAGTGAAACGAGAGACCAGGACAGTGGTTCCTGCATTGCCTTATGTGATGCGGTGATTTCAATCTTGCCAGGTTGCTCTCTGGAGTGATCACTGGTATATGAATTGTACCATGTCACAAGCTTTCTTTCAGGTTTAAGTTTACTCTGACAGTTTATCTGCCATTCCTTCATTTGTCCTTTGTCCTACTTGCATGCACCCATCTCTCTTCCCATGCAGCCACACCCATTCTGCTCTCAATAACTGCCTGAAGTTGCTAGGTGAAAATTTGACAAGTAATTTTGCTATGCAGCCTCACGGAGTGTTTTGAATTATCACCATGCATCGCTAACTGCACCCCTCCCTGCCCGTCCCTCTGCCCCCTTGCATCCTTGCCAACAGGACAGCATCCATCAATCTTATCTGTGTCTCAGTGAAGGAAAGCCTCAGGGGGAAAGCTTGCCTTTTGGAGCATAGGCTTTAAAGTTCTGTGGCATTTGCTCAGGGGCAAGTGCTCCTCTGAACTCCTGGATCATCGCTCATACTTTTTTTTCTTCTTTTTTTGCCAGAGATAAACTTCATAATTAGCTCCCCCAGCTCCCCGGAAGCCATAGTCCCACTGACTGCAAACTCATCAGCGCAAGGTAGAGCCAAGGGGCCCCTGGCCTGATGGCTTCTCAGTTTTATACTGAAGACATGATATTCAGCACGGGTCCTGAGTGGGCTCTGAACTTCGTGCCTTGAGGTTTGTCGTTGTGAGGCTGCTCAGTGGTACCTCATCCTCCATTGCCCCTGGAGGGGATCTGAGCCCCATGGAGCTGCCTCATTTACTGTATGTTCCATGGTAGTGATGACTCATAAACCAGAAAACTGAACAGTCAAGTAATGACACCACATATTCTCCTTGGCCTGGTGTATTATGTTCTATTGCCAAGGATCATGATGCTTGACCTCCTTAAAGAATGGAATTGGCATCTTCTTTTTTGGTTGGAAACTAGACATCCAAGTAGTTAAATTAGTGCCTACTTATGATGTCATCTGCATTGATGTCCATAACCATCTTTCCTGCTTTTTAATAATTATCTGAATGAATATTTTGCATCTTTTCATACATTGAAAAACTGTTGAGTGTGATAGCACTTTTTCTGGGATAATTATAAAGAAAGTTTATTTTAGTATCTTTTGTATTTAACAAATAAGACTGAACTCCGCAATCCTTTTTTGGGAGCTTGAATGAATATTTGATTCTAGTCAGCCTTTAAAATTCCGTGGCTCTGATCACCATACATCTTAGCAGGAGAGTTTTAATGCATTCGTTAAAATTCTCAGAAGCAGTTATTGTCACACATATTTCCATTAACAATTTTGCTTACCTTTGTAAGATGATTTACCCACTCTTTTTCACTCCACTAGTGAATGAGAGCATATAGTGAAACAAGGGATCCCTTACTATTGTGAACAAAGTGATGCTGGTCTGGGTCTCCCACCTTGTAGGCAGATTCTTTACCATCTGAGCCACAAGGGGAGTCCTTAGTATATTTTACATATATTGTATATAGATATTGTTTCCTTTGTAATATTATACTTCCAATACTTTTTTCTTGATTCCCAGTTACCTTAGACTAAGACATAAATAAAATTCATCTTCCCATTTTGCTCTTTCAAGTAGATATTGTAGACTAAGTGTTAGTTTAAGAAAAAACTTAGCATAAGATATTTACCTGAAATTACATGGCTGGTTGTTAATAGCTTAAAAAATACTAACAGATTGACTACACACATTAAACATTTTAGAATCTTCATGCAGTTTTTGAGAATTATTTATGGAAATGTATATTCTCCAGTCATGCTCCATTAATAAGTAATGGAAAAGAAAACCAGGGCAAAGGATATATATTCAGCTTTCCAATGGTGCATAAGGAGTTAATAATGTCTTTGATTTTTGTTTCCTTTATGCTAGAAGAGAGGGAAAAAAGGCCCGGTAGATTAGCAGTGAGAGATTGTTTGGGAAGAAATGAAGCAAAACTGAAATAAAACAGTGCAAGCTTGTTTCTGTTTGGAGGCCACACACATTGAGAGCCAGTGCACATTTCAGATCTCTTAGAAAGAAAAGAAAATTTCTTGTTTAATTTTGGAGTAATTTATAATAGAGTATGTATGTTTTACTGTGTGTACTGTAGTATAAGCACCATTATTTAAAAATGTTAAACCTACAAAGGCTGAAAAATAACATCTTTTCTCATATCAAAAACTTTGTTAAAAGTTTTATTTTTAAAAAAATCTTGGCCTTAATGTAAAATATGTATCATATTTTTTGTTATCCAAAAAACAATATTTATTGTTAAAATATATATTTGTTGGGCAGTTACATCACAAAACCATACCTGTTTTTGAAACAAAATACACAAATCCAGATCTG